ATATTTAAAATAATTTGTATTTAAATAATATTAAATATGTTTATTTATTATACAGATAAATAGTTATATTTTTTAATTATTCATCAATACCTTCTTGACTTTTTAAAACGATTGTGGAATATTATAGTATGTAGACAAAATTAATAGGTAACAACTCTAATTAATTTTTTTATTGAATAATATTATTATAATAATATTTAATTATTTTTTTTAATAAAAAATATCTTTGTTAAAATAATTAGGTATTTGTAAATTATATTATAATGTTTCTAATAAATTATATTGTTTAATGATTTTAGGTAACACATCTAATTTGAACGGCCATTTAAAAAGCAAACACAAAAATGCTTTGGCTATTATTGCTAATAAGGATAATCTGGATAATCCTGAACCTGAAGCATCGACTTCTAGTCTGAATAATCCTGAACCTGAGGCATCGACTTCTAAGATCCCTGATGTACCTAGTACACCTAGTACAAGTGAAAAAACTAAGGACAATCATGTATCAAATGAAATGTTTATGGGTGCATTTAAGCGGCAAAAAACAATTGCTGAATCGTTTGGTGTTATGACAAGTTTCAAAGAAGGTGGAGTAAAATCGGATAAACTTATTCAAGCAATAATGTATATGATTTGTAAGGACAACCAGCCTATAAGTATTGTTGAGGATGAAGGATTCAAGTACTTAATGAAAACAGTATCGCCAAATTTTAAAATACCTAGTCGAAGATACATTTCTCGCAAAATTTATAACAAATATGATATTATGAAGGAGATTGTTATGACAAAATTCAAAAATATTCAACATTTTACTCTTACAACAGACATTTGGACTGATATTAAAACCAGGAGTTAAATTGGTGTTACTATTCATTTTGTTGAAGAATATACGCTAAATTCTGCTTTGTTAGGAGTTTATGAATTAGATGCAAGGCATACAAGTGAATACATAGCAACCAAATTGGTTGAAGTGTGTAAAGAATGGAACATTTCTAAACAAAATATAATTGCTGTGGTAACTGATGGAGCAGCTAATATGTTGAAAGCGATTGATTTATCATATGGGAAAAAACGCCATATATTATGTTTTGCACACACGTTAAATCTTGTTGCACAGCATGCCATTTCAAGTGTCCCTGAACTCACACATTTAATTTCAGATGTAAAAAACATTGTGAGATGGTTTAAACAGAGTGTTGTAGCAAGTGATGAATTAAGGAAAGCAACCAAAGGTGAGGGCAAATTACTCCAAGAAGTACCTACAAGGTGGAATAGTACTTTTTACATGCTTGAAAGTTTCATTAGTTTAAGCAACATAGTTAATGATATTGTGCATAGACACATTACAGCTCCACCTATGATTTCAGCCAAAGAAATTAAAGATATTTCTGAAATAATCGACATTTTAAGACCAATAGAAGCAGCTACCAAACAACTTTGTGGCCAAAAATTTGTGACAACCAGTATGGTTATTCCCATGATCTACATGATGACAAAAAACATTAATCAATTTGAACCCACACAGCAGATAGGTGCTCAGCTTAAAGCAGGAATTTTGCACAACTGTGAACAGAGATTTTGTGCAGTGGAGAATGTTGCTCTTTTAGGCATGTCAACAATTTTAGATCCACGTTTCAAAAAAATTTATTTCAAAGATCCATTAGCTTTATCTAACATGCTAAAATATATTTCTGACGAGATAAAGCAAAACAATTATGTTAGTGAGAGCTCTTCTGATGATGACATCTTAGGTATGAAAAATTCAAGTCAAAATAATAAAAAAAACTGTATTATAATATGTTTAATATATAATATATATATATTTTTTTAGACCCTGATGTGGCAAAACCATTCGATTTGTGGCAAGATCACGAACAAATTGTACAACAATCTTCTGGTCGCAGAGGACTGCGTCAGACAAATGAAATAGGATTCCCAAGCGAGCTTAATTTATATTTAAAATCCAGTGTTGCACGATTATCTGACAATCCACTCCAAATTTGGAAAGAAATGACAAGCGTCTATCCAATTTTATCAAAAATTGCAATCAAATACTTATCAACAGTAGCTACTTCTGTGCCTAGTGAGAGATTGTTTTCAAAAGCTGGGCTGACACTAAATAAACAAAGAAACCGGCTTACTTCAAAACACCTGAATAAATTATTATTTTTGCAATCAATTGATAAAACATTGTGGTCATTATGAAATATGAATAGGTAATGTATTTGTTGTTTTATTACACATTTATATTGAAGGAGTTATATTTTAATCTTTAAAACAAAAGTATTTGTTGTTTTCTAATAAATTGTTATTCAACCAGTTATGTTTTAAGTACAATAGTATATTATCTTTAAAAAAAAAGTATTTGTTGTTTTCTAATAAATTGTTATTCAACCAGTTATGTTTTAAGTACAATAGTAGGTATATTATCTTTTAAAAAAATGTATTTGTTGTTTTCTAATAAATTGTTATTCAACCAGTTATGTTTTAAGTACAATATTATATTATCTTTTAAAAAAATGTATTTGTTGTTTTCTTATAAATTTATATTCAAGGAGTTCTATTTTGAATATTATATTATATTTTAATCTTTAAAAAAAATGTATTTGTTGTTTACTTATACATTTATATTTTATATTCTAAGAGTTAATATTTTGAATGTATGTACTTTGTACTAATATTAATATGAAAATTACAATTAAAATACAATTTTTTTTTCTTATAAGATGATGACTATTCTAGAATTTTTAAGATTTTGATTTTCTGTGCATTTTTTATAATAAGTAAAACATCGAATATCGATTTCCTATGAACATCGATGTTTTTACTATGAACATCGATTTTCAAAAACATCGATATTTTCACCGTGAGAATCGATGTAAAAAAAAATCGATGTTTCAAATTTCGATGTATCGATACATCGAACATCGATGTTCACAAAATGTTGCCCATCTCTATTCCGTATTGTTGATGGCCATCGTCGACGAACATTAATGATGGCTGTTTTATAAAAAAAATTTGAGGATGATGTGAAATGTGCACAAAAATTAAAGAGGCAATCTGTGCAAGAAATCAGCAAAAATAAATCCAAAAAAATTTGCAGCAACTCCAATAATTTAAATCGAGGTTCTACGCAGAGTTCTACACAAAGTTCTAGTAATATTATATTATATGATCAAAATTCCATTCAACTTGACTTGGGAGAAGAAAAATCATGTGGAATCTGCCATATGAAAATGGTTCAGAAAAAGTTCAGATAATCAACTTCAAACATTGGCAAAGAAAACTTGGTAATCTCTATTAGATAACACGAAAACTTAAATGAAATTGAACCTGATGATAGTGATTCAATATATGAATATATTGGCAATATTGATTGTGTTATTTGTAAAGTAAGAGTTGCGGTTCGAAAATTAAAAGATATGCATCATTCAAAAGGTAGATGGGTACTAAGCAATTTTTATAGACATATAAAGCTGAGGATAATATACTAATTGAGTATGCTAAAACCAATAAAAGGTTACAATTATAATTTGTTCGTTTATTTTTATTGATATATAGGGATATTAAAATAAATTAATAAAAGTATTACTATGTTGTTGTAATTAAGTTATTATAAGTCACACCCCCATTTGAAATTTGAAGTAGGTCGACGGTGATAATGAAGAAAAAAAATGTAATTGGACGCCATATATTATGTTTTGCACACACGTTAAATCTTGTTGCACAGCATGCCATTTCAAGTGTCCCTGAACTCACACATTTAATTTCAGATGTAAAAAACATTGTGAGATGGTTTAAACAGAGTGTTGTAGCAAGTGATGAATTAAGGAAAGCGACCAAAGGTGAGGGCAAATTACTCCAAGAAGTACCTACAAGGTGGAATAGTACTTTTTACATGCTTGAACGTTTCATTAGTTTAAGCAACATAGTTAATGATATTGTGCATAGACACATTACAGCTCCACCTATGATTTCAGCCAAAGAAATTAAAGATATTTCTGAAATAATCGACATTTTAAGACCAATAGAAGCAGCTACCAAACAACTTTGTGGCCAAAAATTTGTGACAACCAGTATGGTTATTCCCATGATCTACATGATGACAAAAAACATTAATCAATTTGAACCCACACAGCAGATAGGTGCTCAGCTTAAAGCAGGAATTTTGCACAACTGTGAACAGAGATTTTGTGCAGTGGAGAATGTTGCTCTTTTAGGCATGTCAACAATTTTAGATCCACGTTTCAAAAAAATTTATTTCAAAGATCCATTAGCTTTATCTAACATGCTAAAATATATTTCTGACGAGATAAAGCAAAACAATTATGTTAGTGAGAGCTCTTCTGATGATGACATCTTAGGTATGAAAAATTCAAGTCAAAATAATAAAAAAAACTGTATTATAATATGTTTAATATATAATATATATATATTTTTTTAGACCCTGATGTGGCAAAACCATTCGATTTGTGGCAAGATCACGAACAAATTGTACAACAATCTTCTGGTCGCAGAGGACTGCGTCAGACAAATGAAATAGGATTCCCAAGCGAGCTTAATTTATATTAAAAATCCAGTGTTGCACGATTATCTGACAATCCACTCCAAATTTGGAAAGAAATGACAAGCGTCTATCCAATTTTATCAAAAATTGCAATCAAATACTTATCAACAGTAGCTACTTCTGTGCCTAGTGAGAGATTGTTTTCAAAAGCTGGGCTGACACTAAATAAACAAAGAAACCGGCTTACTTCAAAACACCTGAATAAATTATTATTTTTGCAATCAATTGATAAAACATTGTGGTCATTATGAAATATGAATAGGTAATGTATTTGTTGTTTTATTACACATTTATATTGAAGGAGTTATATTTTAATCTTTAAAACAAAAGTATTTGTTGTTTTCTAATAAATTGTTATTCAACCAGTTATGTTTTAANTTTGAGTAAGCTGTCCAAAAGTATCTTCTACTACTTTCCTTGCTCTAGAGAGACGGTCATTAAATTTTCTTTTAGTATTATCAGCATACATTTGAGGACCCGGGTATGGTCTCAATAAATATGTTTTTAGGGGAAATGCTTCGTCACCAATTATTGTAAACGGGGTTTTTTCACTAGTTCCCGGAAGTGGTTTTCCATCAGGTATATTTTATTTGTTTCGTTCAAGTGCTTTTCCGAAATTAGAATTTGAAAAAATACCACCGTCACTATTTCTTCCGTAAGCCCCGATATCAACTGCAATAAATTTATAGTGTGCATCAACTAATGCCATTAAAACTATGGAAAATGTTTTTTTATAATTATAATACATAGATCCGCTATTTGGAGGTGCTTCTATAACAACGTGTTTACCATCTAACGCTCCTATACAGTTTGGGAAGTTCCAAATTTCCCAGAAATCATTAGATATCTGCTCCCAATTTTCTTTTTTTGGTTCTGGTATGTATTCTTTTAATAATTGTTTTATAATGGCTGTACACACTTCTACTACAATTGAATGAACTGTTGAATGCCCCAATCGAAAACTAAAAGCAATAGTTTGATAGGAATCTCCTGTCGCTAAAAAATCTATAAAAAAAAAAAAGTTATAAAATATATTTTATTTTAATTTATTAAATAAATATTAAATCAATAATTTTGATGAGTTTTATAAAAATTTTAACTCATAGCGAATTTTGGACTCAGTAGATAGAATAACGATCCGATTCTGATATTTTTTTTAAGCACAAGAATGTAAAAAGTCATGGGCAAATTTAAGGGACGCTTACAGAAGAGCTATTAAAAAAAGTGCAACAGTGTCCGGTCAAAAAGCCAAAAATGTTAAAAAATGGAAATACGAATTGGAGATGGAATTTTTGAAACCATACATGAAGGAAAGAGAAACAGTATCCTCAGTTGATACTAAAAGTGACGAAGAAAAAAGTAGTTCCGATTCAGAAAACGAATTAAATTATTCTAAAAACGAAATAAATAAATCTGGCAACATCACAATGGAAAGTATTATTTCACCTGAAGAAAATATTACAAATAGTACACCATCGGAACTATCTCCAAAATTTTGTAAACCTCCACCAAAGAAAATTATGACTCCCAAAAAAAGAAAAAAAAATGAAGGCCATGTAAGTTCAGAATCTGCGTCCTCGCATTTGATGAGGTACATCATAGAAAAAGAAAAGATAGAAGAAGTTAAGGCAAATACAGAAAAAAATGAAAAAAATGAAATTAATGTGATTGATCAATTTTTTCAAAATATGGGTTCGACGGTGAAACAATTTTCTCCTTATCTCCAGCATTTGGCTAAAACAAGAGTTTTTTCTGTGATTTCCGAGTTGGAACTAGATCACATAAAATCTCAAAAACTTCATGAACAACAATATCAACAACAATACCAACAACAACATACATCGGCGTTGCAACCAATTTATCAATCCACACAAGATTATACTGACGGTTCAATAAGTCACCACTCTGATTCAGACACATCATCAAACGTAGGTAACTTTTTAACAACATTCATACCTTAAAAATTACTATTGTTTTTTTTATTACTTATAAAGTTATAAATATTAAATTGTAATTTTTAAAAATAAAAGCTGTATTTAGAATATACTCAGTTTCCGGTATGTTTTATTTTAATTGCATTTAATTGTTACGATTGTTCAAATATATTATTTTATATTAATATTAATTATGAGTTGAAAAAAATATAATGAATATTCATGTAATAATATGTATTAGTAATTCTATATTTTCTCACCTTAAACATACTGCCAATTTTTGTTTAGCTGGTATCGCTTCTCTAAAGTGAGTGTTTTGTTTAGTAATATCATTTTTTATTTTTGATAAAAGTATATTAAACTGATATGAACACATTCTAAAATAAATAAAAAATTTTTCTTCGTGATCTTCAAGAGTCGTACATAATGTATAAAATTCACCATCTACTTTTCTCCGTTTTAAAATTTCATGCACCCAAATACGTTTTTTACCTTTTGTTGTTTCTTGTTCTCCTTCATCTAAAGCTATTGCCATCATAGCCAGATGCTTAGTAGACAAGTGTTTAAACATAGTTTTAGACAACCTAGGCTGGACTAATTGCACTTATACTAACTGCAACTTACTAACTGTACATATTTTAGTTATTACATATCAGTTGTCTGTCTGTGTACGACGGTATGATGTGAATACTCTCTCAAAATGTCGGTCCGGTACGGGTCTGTGCGGCCCGGTGCCGGTCTGCGAGTGTCGGTTCAGTGTGAATCATCCTTAATCCGTTATCATTTCCGAGAATCGCTGCACGTCGAGTTGGGCAACTGGATTTTTTTTTTTTGATCAATTAGTATGTTTACGTTGTTGAATTTATATTTAAACTGTAATGCGATTCCTTTTGACATAGCCAGGCATTTACTAACACAGTGTCCAATTGCAATGTTGGTTGGTAATGAAAAAATATTTATTGCGTGTTCAGCGTAATCACATGAGAACTTTATTCTGTCATTGTTGCAAAATAAAAATTTTTGAAATTCATTTAATTTATTTGAATGATTTAGCGTAACAATATTTTCTATTAATTTTTCGTTGTCATAATTTATTTCTTTAATAGGAGGTTTACCTAAATGTGTCGATTCGTACCAATTTTTAACAAAACTTAAATAATTATTCTTTTCGCTTTCCTTGCCTTTGTCATATTCATATGAGTTAGTCTTATAGTTAATATTATTTTGTCCCCGAGTTAGGTCAGTGGCGTGCTGATCGGTGTTTACCTGATGCAATTGCGCCAGCCCTTGTGGGTGGGTGGGTGCCGGGTGGGTACCCCCGGGCCGAATCCTGACTTCAGAGTGCTGACAATATAGATCAAAGTTTGCCTAACTAGTACACATTATACCCATTTGATTGTAGTCCAACACTATAGTCTACAACGTAGAACGTACTATAGTACAATCATCTATATTCATGTTATAATCAATGGTACCTACTACCTACTACCTAATAGCCAACAGATAATAGATATTTTTCCATGGTGTTAACTATTTATAGGCTATAACAAACACAACTACAACGCGCGTCGACGAGTGTATGATTATTATTAGAACGACTATTCGGTGCGAGCACGATAAGAATAAGATAACAAGCACACGAAAGCGCTTTCATTCGATTTGTTCGTTCGATAACGTAATGATAACATCTGGTATGGTGGGGGTCACCTGTGACGGTGCGTGTGACTCTCCAGTCCTGTTATTAATAGTTAGTTAGTAATTAGTGCTAGTGAGCGGAGGTCCACACGGAGTGTGTGAGGGCCCGAGCTGTAACTAGAAGTGTTGAGTACCAAATAAATTAAGCTAATTGAATCGTGCGATTAATTATTTAAGTAGAATAGTTAATATAAATCAGAAGTGGGATTTCGAATTGAAGAACGTAGTTGTAGTGCGTGTTTATGACCACCGTGGTAGTCGTGCGGGTAAACGTGTGTTCACCGTAAACGTTGTTTGTAGTGCGTTACGGATACGGAATTGTTATTCTACGATTGCCGCTCGTTAAGCGTTGTCGATACGTCGTACGTATAGTAGTCGGTGGTGACCGTACCGTGTAATTAAATTGGACGATCTTCGCCCGATTTCCGACAGAACGTGGTTATTGTTGCGACTTCGTAGTTCGTGAGCCGAATTCGAGGTTAGGTACGACGTTGTCGGTAACAGCAGTTGGTACCCGTGAGTGCGTTCACCGCGGTCGATCTGCGCTATCATTGCTGTGATACTATCAGCGCCGCGTTGTTGTTGTTGTTGTTATTGATATTGATTAGTGATAACAACGATAGACGCTATCGTTCGATAAGGACGGCGATGACGAAAATTTGCGAAGAGGACAGTCATCGCAATTACCCAAGGCGCCGACCTACAATGAGCTTATCGCGCTCATTGATCAATTGCAGAAGAGATTATTGTCCAACGAGTCTAGGCCGGCCACGGACACGGTTAGCCGCGAACAAGACGATAGGTCGATGTCGGAGTCGAGTTCGCGCCAACCCGCGTTGGATTTCCGTGTCTTACCGGATCTGGACAAGACGGTAGGAGTTTTTAATGGTCGCGAATCGACACATGCAGCCGCCGACTGGCTTACTTCAGTGGAAGGTATGGCTGATCTAAATTGTTGGCCGTTCGCATACCGATTACAGTTTGTACGTGCAAACGTACAGGGTGCAGCCAGAGACTGGTTCGTAGGCCGTACGTTTCGGAATTGGCCTGATTTCAAAACGCAGTTTAATGCAACGTTTATACGCGCTGTACGTATGTCTGATCGCTGGGACGCTTTGCGTAGGCGGAATCAGAGCAAGGATGAACACTCAATGGACTACTTCCAATCGAAGGTGAGACTGTGCCGCGATTTATCGCTGTCGTTCGATGAAGTACGGGACCATGTAATTCAAGGTCTGCATTCGCGTGAAATGGCTATGTATGCTCTGTGCAGAGTGCATAGGGATGAGAATGATTTGTTGGCAGACATATTGGACTGAGAGCGGATGGACTCGCTGAGAAAAACGGACGCGAAGTCTGACCGACCTGTCAAGCCCAAGGACTCGTACAAAACGAATGAACAACGGAGTCAATCAGCAGGTGACTCTCAAAAGGATAAAAAGACTTGGAGGCGTGCGGTACCGGTTGGAGACAAAGCGGTTGCCAATACGTCGAGCCAAGAGAACAAGGTGACTGATGATGTCGGGCGCGGCAGCTGCTTCAACTGTCACAAAGTAGGGCATCTTTACCGCGAATGTCCTACAAAAAGAAAACCAATGACATGTTTTCGCTGTGGCGTAGCTGGTCATATGGTGACGAATTGCCCGACCCAGCAACAAGTCAATATTATTGCTGAACAGAAGAACGTGAAAGCACATCATCCGTACCAGAAGGTCGGAGTTGTGAACGACTGTGAGTTTGTTGCGCTTTTGGACACAGGCAGTCACTTCACGTTGTTCAAGGCAACACTTGCAATTAAGTGTGGAGTAAGCGTTCGACCATTTGTAAAACCGTTGTATGGTGTTGGCAGCACGGTTGTGCCTGCTCTCGAGACTGTCGGGGAGGCGGTGATCGAAATAACTATTGACGGACTCAACGCCGGACCAGTAGTAACGCTGATCGTTCCAGACGACGTTCAAGGACCCGATGCCATTATAGGAAGGAACTGGTTAGATTCGCCTGCGGTATCGTACTATAAATCAGGAGGTCAATTAGTACTCGCAGAAGCAAACGTTGTGAACAAGCTAGTTGACACTACCGTTGTATCGTTGGGTAACGAATTGGACAGCTTGCATGTAGTGAGTACGGAGAGCGAACTGGAGCGTGCACCACTTGATTTAAGCGAATTTAAATTTGTGGATGAAGAGGCGAGTGCCGCAGAGAGGTCAAGTCTGTCCGACTTGGTCAATGAGTATCGAGACTGTTTTGCCACTAGCCTGGAGGAACTTGGCTGCACTCCCTTGACATCGATGGATATTTCGGAGGTAACAGGCAGCAAACCCGTTATGTGCAAACCCTACAAAACGAAGGCGGCTGACAGGGCCGAAATAGAAAAAATTGTAAGTGATTGGAAACGCTGTGGGCTAGTGGTCGAAACTCGCTCACCTTATGCCAGCCCGGTATTACTTGTTAAGCAAAGCGCTGGCAAGCATAGACTATGTGTTGATTACAGGCGCCTCAACAAGCAGACCCTCCGGCAACACTTTCCATTGCCTGATATGAACGAGCAACTGCATTCGTTGGGGAACAGCAGGTTGTTCGCGCAGTTGGATTTGGCCAGTGGATACCTGCAGATACCATTAACGGACGAGGCGGCCGCGAAGACTGCATTCATAACTGAAGACACCACAGGTCAGTTTACCCGTATGCCGTTTGGTTTGTCCGGGGCAGTAGCCGAGTTTACTCGACTGATGCGGCATGTGCTGGGACCATTGCACGGGAAAATTGTCAGGAACTATTTAGATGATATGGTCATCGACGCTATTGACTGGGACGATATGTTGTCCAAACTGAGGTTGGTGTTTGATCGGTTGAGGAGTGCGTGTCTGACTCTTAAACCATCAAAGTGTGCCTTCGGTGCCAAGCAGATTGAATTTTTGGGATTTATTATTGGCGGCGGTTTGATACAGCCAGGTGAACTAAAAACTCGGGCGATATCGGACTTTCCTACTCCGGTCGACGTGACGTCGTTGAAAAGATTTTTGGGGCTTACCAGCTTCTTTCGCAGGTTTGTGGAAGGATACGCGATCATAGCAGAACCACTTACGCGATTGACCAAGAAGAACACAGATTTTTTGTGGAGCGATAAGCAGGATGGTGCTTTCCGCGTGCTGAAGGACCGATTGACGGAACCGCCGGTTCTTACTATGTTTGATTCAAATGCGGAAGTTACCGAACTCCATACTGATGCCAGCTCGTTAGGACTTGGCGCTATGCTGTTACAGTCCAAGAAGACTAGCGACTCGCTTAAGTTGGTTTATTGTATAAGTAAAAAAACTAGTGATTCTGAATCCAAGTACCATTCCAGCAAGTTGGAATTGATGTGTGTGGTGTGGGCAATGAGCAAATTACGTCAGTTCCTCTTGGGGTTGAAATTCGTGGTTTATACGGACTGCCAGGCGCTGGTGTATTTGAACTCATTCAAGGCGACGAACGCGCAAGTAGCCCGTTGGCACGATGTGTTACAGGAATATGATTTTACAATCAGATACAGACCTGGGAACCGGATGTGTCATGTGGATGCTTTGTCTAGGGCCCCAGTAAGTCCTGCTGGTGGTAAGGAACTTCCTTTCGACGTGGAGTTGGAGGATAGATGGGACGTCTGTGTATTACTGACCATCGAAGATAAGGTACGGATGTGCTAAGTGGCTGATCAAGAGGTGTCAAGTATTGTTCAGAGACTAGATGCTGATCCAGTTGACTACAACTTGGTTGACAAAAGTTTTACGCTAGAGAACGGGCAGCTGTACAGGCGAGTTAACGGCAAGCTGTTGTTCGTAATGACTAGAGCCATGCGCAAGGGATTGGTGGTTGCTGCACATAACTTGAAAGGGCACCCGGCTGTGGACCGTACGGTTGCTAATATATTACAGGACTTTTGGTTCGTTAAGATGCGGAGGTATGTCGCATTCCACATCAAGATGTGTTTCGAATGCCTGATGGTGAAGGGACCAAGAGGCAAACAGCCAGGCCTGTTGCATCCGATTGCTGTAGGCAAAAGACCATTTGACACTGTACACCTTGATCATGTGGGCCCGTTGGTTACCACTTCGGACGGCTTCAAGTATGTGCTAACTTTTGTAGACAACTTTACTAAATATGTAAATTTTTACCCTGTAGCTAGTACGAGCGCTGACGAAACGCTACAGTGCGTCAAGAAATTTGTGAACGCTTATGGATTACCTCAAAGGTTAATTTCTGATAGAGGGACGTGTTTCACTGCTCGAGTGTTCGAAGAATATTGTGAAGGTCAAGGGATCAAACATATATTGACCTCCACGCGCCACCCACAAGCGAATGGTCAGGTTGAGCGTACGCATAGTGTTCTTATGGCTGCATTAATGACGTGCTCAGAAGAAGGCAAGGATTGGGACGAGATTCTGACAGAGGTGCAGAACTCCATCAACAACAGCGAAAGTAAGGTCAGTACTAGGACACCGTTCGAGATGCTCCATGGATATCGTCCACGGTTTCATCAAGGTGTTCTGAGGGAGTTGTCGAAAACAGCGGACAATTGGGAGCCTCCTGAAGAGGTACGTGAAGCTGTCCGTGAACAACTGGAGAGGAAGAAGGACAAGGACAAGGCCAGATATGATAGGCACAGGCACAACAACACCCATTACACGAACGGAGAGGTAGTGGTCATGAAAAGGGTTCCCACGGTTACTGGGGAGTCCACAAAGTTACAAGACCGCTACAGAGGACCGTTGGTTGTCATCGAAGTGCTACCGGGAGATGTCTACCGCGTTGCTGAACTGGACCAAACTAAAAACAGCAGATTTGCAACAACGGCACATGTGTCACAGTTAAAATCATGGCGAATATACAAAGAAGATGAGCAGATGGAGGATGATGGTGACGAAACAGCCGAAGAGTCTGGTGGTAGTGAGACTATTGAAGAGAAGGAAGATGAAGATACAGCTGAAACAGTCCAAGGAAGGTTTGGTAGAGTGAGAAGGCCACCTGTGTGGCATGCTGACTATGAATGTTAAATTGTAAATTGTTATCCAAGACTGAGATATTTGTTAATTGTAGTTTCCTAAGTCAAGATTATTAATTGTAAATTGTTTAAATATTGTTAATTTATTGTAAGTTAAGGAATGTGAATCTTGTTAAATTTAATTTCACTAAAGTAAAGCCCTGTATGTACTCTACTGTTGAGGACAACAGGAAGGTCAGGACGACCGGATGATAACATCTGGTATGGTGGGGGTCACCTGTGACGGTGCGTGTGACTCTCCAGTCCTGTTATTAGTAGTTAGTTAGTAATTAGTGCTAGTGAGCGGAGGTCCACACGGAGTGTGTGAGGGCCCGAGCTGTAACTAGAAGTGTTGAGTACCAAATAAATTAAGCTAATTGAATCGTGCGATTAATTATTTAAGTAGAATAGTTAATAGTAATGTTACATTTTGTGTAATCGTGTGACTCAACTTTTTACTTCGTTATAACTTTTATTCATAAATTCATGTCTTCATCAGAAAACATAATTGTATGTGCGTGCGGAAAAAACAATAATAATATTAATTTGATTAATTGGTCCCGACACGTAAATGCTTGTAAAGTTGCTAAAATAAAGCAACAGAATTTAAAAATTTCAACTTTTTTAGTAAAATTACTCCAAGTCCTTCTTTAAAACACAAGTTAGAAAGTACGGATTTGGAAAACCAAACAAAAAGAAAACCTGAATTTTCATGTAAGTATTTTCAATGTACAATAGATATAATATGAAAAATCCATGCCATAATAAGTATTAAAAATTATTAAATTTTTTTTGTTAATATTTTTAGTTAGTTTATTAATCATGACTTGCTCGATTTTATAAAATTAAGCAATATGCATTAAATATTAATAACATAAGTTAATCTTTGAAAATATTTTATATATTTTAGATTCTTCTAGTTTTTAAAAATGTACCTATTTAGAATACAATTTAAATATAGCTACCTACTCAAATAGGTACTTTAGACACTGCTCTATTGAATATATTTCATATAATTTTTTCTCTTATTATTGTTTTAGCGCATTCTAGTAATGATCAAAACCCTATTGATGACAATGCTAGTGAAAATGTTATTTTACAAAGTAAGCTAAATACCTAGTGGCTAGTTCAAACCATTAAAATACATACAATTCCTTATGTTTTTGATATAATATTACTTTTACTTTTAGACCATTCCATTGATAATCTGATGGTTAAAAACAATGTTAATGAAATCAACAAACCAATCAATGAAGATACTGTGGAACAAGGTAAAAATAATTATTTATCAATTTATCTTATGCTAGCTAAATAGCTTGAAAATGAAAATGAAACCTACACCAGTTGTTTAAAGTGACATTTTCTGCAGCACATCATTTTTTTTCAAAATATTTCGTTAATTTTTCAGCTATTTATAGGCATTTGAAATATTTGATTTTTTTTTTTTATGTATAAATAAGACTTGACAATTTAATATAAGGTTTTTCATTTAGATTTTTTTTTATTTTAGATTTCTTCGAATCGAAAGTGTCAAATGATCCCAGTGTTTTTGCAAAGTTAAACTATATATCAGAAGAGCATAAATATTTACTTGCCACCATGGGTCCATGTCAACCAACACCTCAGGAAATGCCTGGTAAACAATTTCCTTATACAAACGGTAGATCATTCCATGAACATTATTATTACGCTCAAGTAAATAATAAAAAAGTCAGAAGATTCTGGTTATCATACTCTCCTATCGAAAATAAAGTTTACTGTTCTAGTTGCAAACTTTTTGGAACTCCTAAAGCTCAAAAACAGTCTTTAGCTACTGAAGGCACAAATAATTGGCCTAGAATAACTGAAAAAATTAAATTACACGAATGCAAGCCAGAGCATTTAAGTTCTGAAATAAATAGAGGAATGTACATAAGTAATCAAAGAGTTGATAAAGGCTTACAAACTCAAAAAATAAATTTGTAGCAGAAAATCGAGAAATAGTCTTGGCAGTTTTTAGAGCAGTGTTATACCTAGCTAAACAAAATTCAGCATACCGTGGTCACAATGAAAAAACCTCATCTTCTAATCAAGGAAATTTTTTAGAACTTATTAATTTACTGGGAAAATACAATCCTTATCTCTCACATCACTTATGTAAAATTAGTGAAAATAAAAAAAAAATCGTTTGACATTTTTATCCAACAATACCCAAAATAAAATGTTAATAATATTGAGTGAAATGGTTCGAGAAAAAATAATTGTTGAATTAAAAAGTAGTGGTGCTTTTGCTGTAATTATAGACACCACAACAGACTTGTCCAAGTTAGAGCAGTTGGCCTTTGTAGTGAGATTTGTAACTAATGATGGTAAAATTCAAGAACGTTTACTTGCACTACAAGTGGCTAGTGATGCTAGTGGAAAAGGTTTGATCAATACTTTTAATAATATTTGTGAAAAGTATAAATTAAATTGGAAAGAAGAACTTATTGCGCAAGCGTATGATGGTGCAAGTTCAATGCAAGGCGAGTATCAGGGATTAAGAACATATGTACAATCCCAGAATCCAAGAGCTGTCTACATTTGGTGTTTCGCACATGTGTTGAATCTTGTAGTTGTAGATGTTTGCGAGTCAAGTATTGAAATTAAAACATTTATTTCTAACATCCAATCCCTGACTACATTTATGTCTGCTAGAAAACGGACAGCAGACTTTGTTGATTCGCAAATTGTATTGTATCCAAATGCACGGGTATTTAGAATGAAAAATCTATCAACCACCCGCTGGACCTCACACGACCGCGCAATTAATGTAGTTTTTACAAAGTACTTGGCTGTTGTGAAGTCTTTAGAACACCTCACAAAATCATCTGACACCAGCACATCATCTCAAGCAAAAAGTATTTACCAAAATATTACTTCATTTAAATTTATATTGACTATGCTGTTAATGAAAAAGATATTTAATGTAACATCACCTCTCTCGAGCTATTTACAATCATCTACTTTAGATTTTATTCAAGCATTAATTTTGGTTGACAGTGCCAAAAAGCAATTGATTAAATTAAGAACCGAAGAGTCGTTTAAAATCTTAATGAATGAAGCAAAAGACTTTGCTATACTACATGAACTAGAAGAAACAAATTTAAAAAAATAACGGATAAGAAGGAAGAAGAAAATGGTAGATGAATTGTGCAGCGATGAAGCCCCTATTGATGCTATTATTAAATTTAAAACCAACGTTTATTTTTATACATTCGATGTTATAATTGGGACAATAGATAGTCGTTTTAAATCAAATCGCGGTGTATTGACTGATCTTAGTTTTTTTTCTTATTCACGGCTTAAAGATGCTGTAAACAGTGTGTCACTTCCTCCAAATACTTTTATGGATATATCAAAATGGTTGCCAGAAATTAATGTGGATAATTTACAGTCCGAGTACCTAATGTTTGCTGCAAGTTTTGAATCATTGGAAGCTAGATATGCAGAAAAAAATGTTGATACTGACAAAGATGATGATGATGATGATGACGATGATTCTAATTATGATGATGATGAGATAGCTTTGAAATACAATCCTAAAGAATTAGGGTTTTCTGTACGAATGATTCAACTTATTAGCTCATTTGGCTTAACAGCTTCATTTCCAAACTTATACTTGGCTTTTAAGGGCATGTGTACAATTCCAGCCTCGTCTGCTTCTGCTGAACGCAAATTTTCTAAGGTAAAACTACTAACTTATTATTAATTAATTTTTTTTAAGCTCTGCTGTCAATGTGCAATAAAAGTATTATATAGTTTCATTAATTGAGTAGTACTTATGCTAAAACCTTTATAAGAAATGTTAATTAAGTGCTCTAAACAAATATGTTATTAATTAAACCCATTTTGTTATGAATTAAATATTAATATGGCACTTTTTTACAATTTTGTACTAAAATTATAATGCAGAATTTCCCCTTATTGTCGCAAGACCCAACATATTATTATTATTAAAAATGTAACAATATTGAATACAGACATACACTAAATTTGAACGCTGTTTAAATTTTAAAATATCTTATTTATTAAAAAAAAGTGAAATTAATTATTTAAAAATTAACAATTTTTTGTTACCTTTTTGTAAAAAATAAATTAATGATTTATATATAAAATGTATATTTGATCCGAATATAAATACAATTTTTATGTACTTAAGTAGGTAATATTGTTAACACTTCATTTTTATTTATCAACAGGTTAAGATTATTAAAAACCGATTACGGACAACGGTAGGACAAGAGAGACTTGAGTCACTTATGTTACTATATTGCGAAAAAGACATAAGTATTGATATGGATGAAGCAATTGACAGACTGGGAATATCATCTAAAGTGCTAGAAGAAGCCCTTTTA